CATGCCTGGCATGGTCACATATTTTATATACCTATTTACCTAGAGTTAGAGAAATAAAATTTTCCTAGGGAAAGCTAGGCGTAGTGGAGGAGGCAAGGTCGGGATTGCTACGAGGTCAGGCCCAGCAAGGGCTCTACAGTAAGACCTTGTCACAGCCACCTGTAACTCTAGTTCCAGGGCATTCAACACCTTCTGGACTCTGAGGGCAGCTGTACAGATGTGCTGTACATAAACCTTGCAGCGACATAAATACACACAGTACATAACAAATACATAAAGAAAAATTTAAATACAAAAAAAAAAAAAAAGAAGGAAAAATTTGGGGATAAAAAGGAACCAGAAGCCGGGCGGTGGTGGCGCACGCCTTTAATCCCAGCACTTGGGAGGCAGAGCCAGGCGGATCTCTGTGAGTTCGAGGCCAGCCTGGTCTCCAAAGCGAGTTCCAGGAAAGGCGCAAAGCTACACAGAGAAACCCTGTCTCGAAAAACCAAAAAAAAAAAAAAGAAAACAAAAAGGAACCAGAAGAGGCCCTGGTCTACAGACCAGTTGGGTGTTTTATCCAAAGGCGTTGTGGAAATAAACAGGGAAGCTGGGCATGGTGGCCCATGGCTTTAATCCACATGGGAGGCAGAGGCAAGATCTCTGAGTTGAGGCCACCCTAGTCTAGCTACAGAGCTTGAGGCCAGCCAAAACTAAAATGAGACCATTTAAAAAAGGGAAGTAGCTGGAGAGATGACTTTGAAGTTAAGAGCACTGGCTGCAAGCTGAGCGGTGGTGGTACACGACTTTAATCCCAGCACTGGGGAGGCAGAGCCAGGAGGATCTCTGTGAGTTCGAGGCCAGCCTGGTCTACAGAGCGAGTTCCAAGACAGCCAGAGGTACATAGGGAGATTCTGTCATGAAATAAACCAAACCAACCAACCAACCAACCAACCAACCAGAGCACTGACTGCTCACCGAAAGGACCCAGGTTTGATTCCCAGCACCCACTAATGCAGCTCACAGTTGTCTGTAACTCCAGTTCTTCTGGCTTCTGTAGGCACTAAGCATCCATGTGTGTATACACATAACATTAATTTTTGTTTTGTTTTGTTTTTTTTTGGTTTTTCGAGACAGGGTTTCTCTGTGTAGCTTTGTGCCTTTCCTGGGACTCACTTGGTAGTCCAGGCTGGCCTCGAACTCACAGAGATCTGCCTGGCTCTGCCTCCCGAGTGCTGGGATTAAAGGCGTGTGCCACCACCGCCCGGCAATAATTTTTAAAAAAATCAACAGGGAAGCTGCGCATGGTGGCACAGGGCTTTGCTCCCAGAATTCAGGAGGCAGAGGGAGTAAGTTCAAAACCAGTCTATCTACATAGAGAATTCTATGTCAGCCATGGCTACATACATAATGAGACACTCTTACACAAACAAAACAAAAAATAACAATAACGGGAAGACAAACTTGAGAGCAAGGTGGAATCTGTTTGCAGCTCTTCTGCCCGTTACTGAAGGAAGAGGGATTTTAATGTATTTTTACGTTTTATTATTGTATGCATTTGGGCGTTTTGTCTACATGAATGTCTGTCTGTATATGACACGTGTGCCTGGTGCCCGAGGAGGCCGGAAGAGTGCATAGACCCCCCTGGAACTGGAGTTATAGATGATTGTGAGTTACCATGTAAGTGTTGGGAGTTGAACCCGGGTCCTCTAGAAAAGTGGCCAGTGAGTGCTCTTATCCGCTAAGCCATCTCTCTCCACTCCTGAAGTATTTATTGATTTGTTTAGTGCAGTCCTACATATGGAACTCACTGTGCCGTTCATGTTAGGCGGAGCTCTGCCTCTGAGCTGTGCTTCCTGGCCTCTCCCTGGAGGATTCTGGCAAGCTGTCTACTGCAGAGCTATAGCCCCAGCCCCGGAAGAGGGGTTTTACTTTATTACTTTTATTTATTATTATGTGTGCATGATGTGTGTGTGGGGTTGAGCGCCATGGTACATGTGTGGCAGGCAGGGGACAACTTTGTGAGTCAGTCTGTCCTTCCACTTTTACTGGGTTCTGGAGATCAATTTAGGTCATCTGGCTTGTGCACTAAAGCAGCTTTACTAATCCATCTGGCCAGACTCGCTGGCTGTAATTACTTTGATTTTAAAAAAAAAAAATGTTCTTGTTTCTTGAGAAGATAGGATCTCACGCAGCCCAGGTTTGTCCCCAATCCACTAGGAGCAGAGGATGACCTTGCACTCAGTTTCCCTAGAACTGTGATTACAGGTAGCTGTTGGCACCACTGAATTTCTGGCTAGGAGGGAGGGTTTAAAGGTTGGACCACATCTAGAGTGACCTCATTAGCTTAGCTTGCTTTGTCCGTGTACCCCATCGAGGATTAGCTAATTTAGCAGGCCAGCAGCAAGCAGTTTCTTTCATAACCCTTCCTGCTCCGGGGTGGCCCCAGCACAAGAGGGGAATCCATGGTGTTTCAGGTAGCCTTGCAGCAACATGTTCCAGCGTTCCAGTCTCCACCTGTCTGGCACACTTTCAATCACTTCTTTCTTTGGCTATAACCTTGGCAATGAAAAGGAGGTGTCTCTGAGACAGGACGACGGTTGTTGCCGACACCCGGTTTCTTTCAGGGATTATGCATGAGCCATGATTAAAACTGTGTGTGGACGTTTACTGGGTGGACTGAGATGGAGTCAAAGGCCGTTAGATGAAAAGAAGCAAAGACATAGAACACGACTGGAGAGTTGGCTCAGCCGTTAGAGCACTGGTTGCTTTTGCAGAGGAGCCAGGGTTCAATTCCCAGCACCCACATGTCAGCTCACAGCTGTGGGTTATTCCAGTCCCCGGGAATCCGAAGACAACCCTCTTCTGATCTCGGCAGGCAGAGAATCGGCAGATTTGGGTAGGTGGGGATTTTTACAAGGGCTGTGAGAGTCAGATGACCTGCTGGTATGTCGGTGTGATCTAGATATATAGCCCAAGTTGTCCTTAAACTCGAGATTCTCTGTCTCCGGTGGGTAGCTGAACCCGGCCGTGGGGTCTAGCCTGTGCTGTTCTCCACCATTCTCTAGTGCTCTCTGATAAGCACACAGACATCACCCTGCAATAGTTTCGATGTCAGACACTGAGCAGCCGTGGCACCTTGGGTGCTCTGAGCCTTGCTTACTCATTTGTACAACATGCATGTCTACATTTTCCTCCAAAACACTCAGCAAATGGGGAAAACTGCCACGTGAACCCCAAGCAACTGGGGGACCTTTTTTCCTGGTTAAGGTGGAGAGTGGGACTGAGGGTGAGCGGGAACGCGGAGCCAGAACGAACGCAGCGGCCCAAGGTTCTTCCCATTCCGCTCTAGCTTCGGTACCTCCTCGGTTCCCCCACTCCCCCAGTGAAAAGAGGTCGTGGTCCCTTTAAGGCCCGCCCCTCCCTCCCCCAAAACTTCCCAGTGTCTGCTCTTTTCGATCCCGGACGGCCGGCCAGGCTCGCCGCCGAGCTGGTAGGGGACAGGGCCGCGGGGTCGGGGAGGGCCGCGGGGGCACCGGCGGGACGCACGTCGCCGCGCCGGCGGGAGGGCGGGGGACTGGTTGCGGGAGCAGCGGGCACGGGCGCCAGTCGCTGTCCCGGGCGCGCGTGGTCCGCGAGCGGCCCGCACTGTACAGGGTCTGGTCGAGTGCCGTCGACGCGCCCTGGCGAGGGGCGTCCGGGCCGGGCGCGGGGGCGGGGAGGCGACCGCGCGCTCCCCTCCCCCACCGCCACCTCTGACGTCGCCGCGGGACCCCGCCCTTCCGCGGGAGCGGCCCGCCCCACCGCCGCCGCGCGTCACCTGCTGCGCCGCGGCGCACCCCACGTTGGGAGTGCCGGCTTCGGAGTATCCGTCCAGTGAATGGGGTGGAGGTTCGTTTAGGTCATCTGATGCCTCCAAACTTTTCTTTTCTTTAAATTGGAGCCCAGGGTAGCCCTGAACTCAAGGCAATCCTGCCTCTGACTCCAGAGCACTGGAATTATAGGCTTGCAACCACCACGCCATGCTCAAAACTTTACTTCTCCAAACAAACGGGGTTCCAGTCCCTGTGTCCTTACATTTTAAAGTTAGTCCTAAGAGGATCCCGGCTTTGGGGATCCCACTGACCTGGTAGAAAGGTACCCCAGCACGCTTGGGGCGTCCTGTGAATCTTCCACGACCTTCAGACTTTCGTGGAAAGGTACCCCAGCACGCTTGGGGCGTCCTGTGAATCTTCCACGACCTTCAGACTTGTGTGTGTGTGTGTCGTGGTGGTGGTGTGTAAACTTGCGCCTTGTCTGTGGTAGGCCAGCGTTCCAAAGCCTGTTTGACTCTTTATTGTCCCCATAACGCCTGTGGACGGGACCATGGTCAGGATCCTCCGTCAGTAACCTTCCCTGTCCGCTCCCCAATGGGCTCTGGCCGCGTTACAGCTCTCGGGCTTCGCAGGACCCTAGGAGGAAGACCAGTCCCTTCAGGGCAGTCTCCAGGGAGCGAGTCTGGGCTACAGAGCAATCCCAAGGACGCGGTGCTGTTACCACGTGCGAATCGAGTTAAACTGAGAGATCTATTGTGGCTGAATTTAAAGTGAAATGATGCCGCTTGGCAGGGTCCGAAGTCAGTTGGCAGTGAGTGCTTTTATAGTTAGAAGTGCTCAGATTTGGAGGTTCTTTTTCAAAGAATAACAACCCTCTAGCTTTGGATAGGATAAAGGTGAAGTGGAAATGTACTAATGGGGTTATAGCTGCAAATTGCTGTCTTGGTCTAGATTTCCGGAGCTTGCAAACAGCAGGCAAGCAAAATAGTCCGGGTAGTCTATCAGTCGCTTCCTTACAGTCACCTCTTCTCCTGAGGCCCCGAAAAGTACGGTAGCGCATGCGTCCTCGGCCCGTTCCTAGATTGCGCCAGAGAGCGCCTACGGGCTCCCCTTTTTCACCAATCAGAGACTATCAGTCGCCCTATACCATCTGGTAAGAGGGTTTTCTTTCCACTCTCCATTGACCAATCGAGTGGTGACGTAGAAGATGGGCACCTGCGGGAACCACTGCAGGAACACAGAAGGGAAGGCCTTTCTTGTATCCCAGCGGAGTGGCGCGGGAAGGTAATCGTTGTGACTGGGGGACGCAAGGATTTCAGAGTGATCGATAAGCGAGGAAACCAATGAGAGTGGGAAGGAGGCGGACCTTCGGGGAGCCGCTTCCATTTGCTGTCTGTGGGAAGGCGGAGCGATGCCAAAAACCCGGCCTATCAAATCGAAGTTTATTTTAAGGAGGCGGGGCTTGACGGAATGACTGGCAGGAAAGGTTCACCTATAAGAAGTGCGATTGACGGACGAGGGCGGGCTTTCCAATAGAACGGCATGGGCTCTATCCAATAGGCAGGAATCGTGTGGGGCCTTCCCCTCCCCCCACGACAGGGCCAGTGGCTCCCCCTATCGGGTGGGGGCGGCGAGTGACGGGCGTGTCCCTCCCCCAATGAGAGGCGGGGGGAGGCGGGTTCTGCGCCGCCATGTCGCGGAGGCTGCTGCCCCGGGCGGAGAAGCGGCGTCGGCGGCTCGAGCAGAGGCAGCAGCCGGACGAGCAGCTGAGGCGGGCGGGAGCGATGGTGAAGATGGCGGCGGCGGGCGGCGGAGGCGGCGGTGGTCGCTATTACGGCGGCGGCAACGAGGGAGGCCGAGCCCCTAAACGGCTGAAGACTGAAAACGCCGGCGACCAGCACGGAGGCGGCGGCGGCGGAGGATCCGGGGCGGCGGGCGGCGGCGGCGGGGTGAGGCCAGGGCTTTAGACTCCCGGAAGAAAGGGGAAATTTCTTACTTTAAAGCTATTTATTTTTGCGGGGGACCTCTGCGCACGCGCTGCAGCCCTCGCGCTTTTGGATGGGTGGGGGAGGGGCAGGCGTTGGGCAAACGGCGGGGTTTGCGCGAGGACAGTCGCCTGCGCGTGCGCGCAATCCGTAGCGGGGCTTGAGGGGGCGGAGGAAGCGGCTGCCTCTGCAGGCGGCGCAGTGCGCAGGCGCCGCGGTCTGGCATGTGGGGGGCCCAGGCACGCGGCCGGGACTTTTTTTTCCCTTTCTCCCTTTATCGGTTTTTTTTTTTTTTTTTTTTTCAGTCTGTGCCCCCACGCGCAAGCGCGCTTCTGCAACCAGATCTTGTGAGCGGGAAGTGGGTGGGCGGTGGGGTCGGTAATTCTGCCCCTTCGAAGTCCGAATCACGGTCGCGTCTTACAGAAGTTGACTTGTTGAGACTATAATGCCCAGCCAGACTAGAATATTTGACCTCTGATGCTGTGTGCATTGTAAAACGGAAGAGAGTTTGTGAGCCGAGCTTAGAAGTCATCACGCAGTTTGCTTTCGGTTTCCCGGAGAGGGGCATTTATAAACTAAAATATTTTGGTCCCGTGGCCATGCCCGGAGGCATTTTGCCTACTCAGTCTTCTCCTAAAAGTCACAGTTCTGATTTCTGTGTTGGGCTGCAGTCCCGCACTCCTTTTAAAAGTGTTCTAAAAGTCCTCCTCCTACCGGACACGGTGGCGCTGGCCTTAACGCAGTGCTCTAGAAGCAGAAACGGGCGAAATCTCTTGAGTTTGAGGCCAGCCTGTTCTGCATAGTGAGTTCCAGGCCTGACAGAGCTTTATAGTGAGACTCCTTCTCAAACAAACAATGCCCTCTTGTTCAGCTGCTTTTCTGCTGTAAGCATGTACTCGCTTAGCCTCATTAGGATGTTACATTTCCTCCTGTTTGGAAGACATTTTATTTTAGTTAGACTGCTGGAGCCCATGAGGGTGAAGGAGTACTGATTCCAGAGAGTTCTCTGAGCATCTCATGGGCAGTGTGGTATCTTGCCTCCATCCCCAATAATTTAAAGTGAAAGATCTCTCACATTAGTTGCTGTTCCTTTGAGATGGGTAGTTTTGTAGACTCCCTCACAGAACAGGAAGGAGCGGGGTTAGGATTAAACAAACTCGGGGCTCTGGGAGACAAGCCTTAGCTTGAAACTGCCAGGAAGAGTGTGTCTTGTGTGGTTCCCTACTGGAAAAAGAACCCACTAGTGTTCATGGGCTTCGGCCAGTGATCTTCAGACAAGAACCTGGGCCCAGAGCCCAGGAGAGACGGAGGAGAAAGTTGCCTCCAGAGCCCCAGAAGCTTGGGTGTGTGTGGAAAGATACATCCCCTGAGGAGGAGCTATGGTAGATCCGACAGGTTGGGATAGCAGTTCAGTGTAGAAGATCTTGGCCCTGTTCTCTTTAGTTTGGCCTAGTCAGTGTAACGAAGGGCATGTTGTCCTAGAAGCCATGTGGTCTTACCCTGACTGGCCATGAAGGTGACTTGTGGGGAACAGTCACTAAATGACCACAGCTTGCCTAGCCAGAGAAAGCCAGAGAAGTTAGAGCACATGCAGAGTGTGTTCTTGAGGCTAGCAGGCAGCTGTTGGAGCTCTAACCGTGGGTGTGGCCCCTTTCCAAGCCACTCTTCCTGTTGTACGTTGATTGAGGAGAGACAGATTCCAGGAAGAAGGCCAAATGTGAGTTTCCAGTTCTTCCTACGTTCAGCCTTCCTTAGAAACTAAAGCCAGCCGGGCGGCGGTGGTGTACTCCTTTAATCCCAGCACTTGTGAGTGAGGCAGTGGATCTCTGTGAGTTCAAGGCCAGCCTGGGCTACAGAGTGAGTTCTAGGAAAGACACCAAAGCTACACAGAGAAACCCTGTTTTGAAAAACCAAACCAAAAAAAAAAAAAGAAAAGAAACTAAAGCCAGTGAGCAGATGGCTACCCACTCAAAGGCGGTTCTCGATCCGATGGCTTTGGATCGGGGTCCCTCTTCTCACTCAAGGTTTGTCCATCCTTTTTCAGGAGAACTACGATGACCCCCACAAAACCCCTGCCTCCCCAGTTGTCCACATCAGGGGCCTGATTGATGGTGTGGTGGAAGCTGACCTTGTGGAAGCCCTGCAGGAATTTGGACCCATCAGGTACGACATCATCTTCTGAAACCAGGGGTTAGGGCTCCTTAGCGTTACTGTGAACTAATGCGGATGAAGCTGCCTAGATTCCTTTCCCACAGGGTTGCCTGGGCAGTGATGGATTAGCACTCTGACGGTCTCTTCTGAAACAGGAAGAGGGGTCAGGAGATGACTGTCGATCACTTGATGTATTGGGGTCAGAGTTCAGAGGAGCAGGAATCAGGTCACAGAGAGCAGGACTGAAATCCACCTCTTCTCTGCAGCTATGTGGTGGTGATGCCAAAGAAGAGACAGGCGCTGGTGGAGTTTGAAGATGTGCTGGGGGCTTGTAATGCAGTGAACTACGCGGCCGACAACCAGATCTACATCGCTGGGCACCCTGCTTTTGTCAATTACTCCACCAGCCAGAAGATCTCTCGCCCCGGCGACTCTGATGACTCCCGGAGCGTCAACAGTGTGCTTCTGTTTACCATCCTGAACCCCATCTACTCCATAACCACGGTGTGTGCTGAAGGCATTCCTCTAGGCTGCTCTGAGATCTCCTTTCCCCTGTCGTCCCAATTCCACCCCCGAGCTAGCATGACATGCCAAGGCCCCTTACCTTGCCTCTTGTTGCTTTTATAGGATGTTCTTTACACTATCTGTAATCCTTGTGGTCCTGTCCAGAGAATTGTCATTTTTCGGAAGAATGGAGTCCAGGCTATGGTGGAATATCCTTTTCTGGGAAACTGGTGTTCTCTGATCTGGGGGACCTCTCAGGGCTTGGCAGAGAGAATTCATGCCACATACCAAATGCCTTTGCAGAGACAGTTATGTGGAAGTCTGACCAGGGAGCCATACACTGCAAATCTTAAAGGAACAAACAGTTCATGAGGTTTATGTAACAGCAGGTGATGTGGGCACCTCTCTCTCAAGAGGGTGCTATTTTATTCAGGTGGTGTGTTAACCCCCACCCCACCCCCCAGTATTGAGCCCAGTGCTTCATGCATACTGCACAGGTGGGAACACTCAGCTGTATCCACAGTCCTCCTCGGTGAGGTGGTGGTTGGTATTCTGTGTAGATGGGGCTTAGATAATCAGAAGACTCAAGCCCTGCAGAATGACTTACAAGGGGAGAGGGGGGTTTTGATAAAGATAGCTTTTTAGGGCCCCCTTGGCTAGGATGCAATGAGAAGCCACCTTTAAAGCAGGCAGGGTGTAGATTTTCGAGATAAGATGGGACAGCTTGAGAAGCTGCTGCTGCCATCTCTTGGTGCCTGGGATAAGAGTGTAGATCACAGCCAGGTGGTGGGGTCGCACGCCTTTAATCCCAGTACTTGGGAGGCAGAGCTAGGCAGATCTCTGTGAGTTCGAGGCCAGCCTGGTCTACAGAGCGAGATCCAGGACAGCCAGGGTTACACAGAGAAACCCTGTCTCGAAAAACAAAAAAAAGACTGCAGATCCCAGAGAGCCCTGGCCAGTGGCTGCTTTCTGAGGGCAGTCCTTGGTGTGTCTCGATGGCTCTTGCTGTGCCTGAGGTTATAGGTGGTGCTCACCGTCTTTGAGTGCTGTCTGGTCCTTGTTTTATCCAGCAATGTAATGACTTTTCCAAAGCTCCACATTGATAGCTTCCTTAAGTTCTCTCACATTTGATTCTGTGCAAAGCGCCCAGCGGGCCAAGGCCTCACTTAATGGGGCTGACATCTATTCTGGCTGTTGCACTCTGAAGATCGAGTACGCAAAGGTGAGTCTCGGGAGTGACTACCTGATGTTAGTCACCTGGTGAGATGAGGCATGGCCAGTCTCAAACTTTGTCTTGTTCTTGCAGCCTACCCGTTTAAATGTGTTCAAGAATGATCAAGATACTTGGGACTACACAAACCCCAACCTCAGTGGACAAGGTAATCCTGATGGCTACTTTGTTCTAAACACATTGCCTTGCCTCTTCACTCGAGTAGTGCACTTCATAGACCTGGGCTTAGGGTTATGTAATGCCATTGGGCTCCCTGTGGGCATGGGAAGGCCCTTGGGTCAGTTCTGCCTCCTGAGTCTGCTGAAGGGGCAGAGTTGAGGCTGAGGCTGGGGCTGGGCAGGGTCGGGACAGGGCATCCATGAGGAGGAGGCATGGCAAGGAGGCAGAGGTCAGCAGCTCCATAGGATTTTGCTGCCTTCATTCTAGAGCCTGGTTAGGGTTGCTTGAGTCTCTATTCCCTGGAGGATGAGCAGAGAACCTCTCTGCTGTCTGAGGGGCTGATGGTTGGGGTTCAGGAGGAAGGGGTTTGAAGCAGAGCCTTCAAGCAAGTAGACCTTGTAGAGGTCAGACACTTGGATGAGACCAGGACAGACATTACTGATCTCCGTTGTAGAAGGGACTCGGCATCTCTTCAGGGGTCCACAGGGACAACCCCCTTTCTAGTGTTGTCAAGAATGATTTACTTTTGGTAGGTGGGAGAGGGCAAGGATTATCTTTGAAAAACAGCATCACCCCTCTGAAAATCAAGATCAACCACTTCTTGGTCTGATACGTCGAACTAGGCCTTGGGCTGTGGGAGGAGGCTGGTGGCTGACTCTGGGAGGCCAGAGACTCACCCCTACACTTGTAGGTGGGCCTGTTCTGCTTGCTTTGCAGCTGAGAGCCAGTGGGCAGGGTGGGCTAGACTCTCCCAAGGACCCTCAGAATTGTCCCTCTGGGCCTGGCTGCTCCCTCCAAAGGTCAGAGGCAAATTATGACCAAGTGAATGTACCAGAGCGAGCAATGGCATTACATGACTGCTGACAGAAACATGGCAACCAACCATTTCTTCTCCAAGGAACACAAATAGAAGATGTGCAGACCGGCAGGGGCTAGTAGCAGGGGCTGGCTGTGCATTGGTTCTGATGCCTCAGCTTTGGCTGCCCCAAGCCTGGGGCCCAAAAAAACCGAGGGCTGATGAGGTAACCTGGAGTGAGGGCGGTGCTTCGCCACCCCCTCGGGAACCACACTTCAGCGGCTCTGCCTCTGCACATTGCGCACCAACACACAGGGCACAAAACCACTAGTTCTTCCTGGAGAACAGAACATGCAGCCTCCACCACGTCCCCAGAAACAGCCGCAGATTGAGCTCACTACATCAAGAACACCACACCGCGCTCCAAGGAACAGCTACAAGCACAGAGACAGAGGCAGACAGAGACAAAGAAAGAGACGCAACATGGCAGCAGACACTGCTTTTTTATTAAACATTAAAAGTCAAAATCCAAGCAAACTTGAACCCAAGAATGTACACAGAAGTAGGAAACACAGAACAGAGCTCAGCCAGCCAGCCAGCGGCGCTCTTTTCGGAGAACGATTCGATTCCTAGACTGGAGTAGATTCCATGGGCCTCCAAGACAATAGGATCCTCTCTCCATTCCTCGCCATGTGGGTTTTGTTTTTTAAGTCCTTTGGTTTGGGGAGGGCCTTGTTTTTTCTTTTGTGTTTTGATTTTTTTTTTCCTGCAGTCACCGGCTGCCAACACAGTCTGCACCAACTGGAGATCAGAAATTAAAAAAAAAATTTAACCACAACAACAAAAAAATCAAAAAACCAAAACAGACCTAAAATCAAAAACAGCTCAGAGGCACACAGTTACCTGCTGGTGGGTAACCGGGCGCTACCAAGGCCAAAGCGCAAGCATAGTGGGGCCACTGGCACACTTCATACCAGGAGACACGCACATGGAGCGCTACACAGCCAGAAGCACCGCACTGCAGCACACAGTGTGAGGAGGTGACTACACGGAGGGACACTACCCACTCCACACACCTCATTTCCACTTTCTGGTATCTTCTGAGGACAGCATCTGTGAGCCAATTTTGATTTAATCAGAACATTGACTTTTAAAACGATTCTTAAAGAAAAATGTAGCGGATGTGTACCGTGACTTGTATTTATGACTGTAAAACCATGTGATGCAGGGTCGCAGTGTATGTTTGATGGGACGCCATCTTTCAGAACTGTGCTAACTCACTGTTGAAGCGTCCAATGGTAAGAGAAAAATACAGATTTGTTTTTTTGTGACAAATGGACATTGTACTCTGTACTTCTGCTGTAAGTAGCCTTTTTCCATCTTTGTAATGACTGTTAAAGAACAAACCCAGGCAGGGTGGCAGGAAAGGGCAGCGGTTTCACGCTCTGGGTCTTGGTGCCACCCAGACCTGGGCTGAGGTCCTAGCTCAGCCTCTGATCTGCAAGAGTGTCTTAACTGCTCAGTGACAAAGTAACTGCTCTAATCTCTTACTGTAAGATGGGGCTGGGAAATGAGTGCCTACCTCATAGGGTTGTTGTGAGGAATTGGAGAAGCTGTGATGTCTGTAAAGTGCTTACCAGTGTCCGTCACTTAAGCGCTGAACTAATGGTTAAGAACTCCAGTTGGGCTGGGAGGGGCTCTGCGCCATTGTTGGGTCTGAGAATGTTGATGCCTTGTACCTAACTGCTCCTTCAAACTGATTGTGCTGGTGCCCTGCTTGTCAGATGTACTGTCCCTCTCAAAGGGCTGGGCTGGGTGATGTGTGGAGGGGGGCGGGCCAGGGGTGATGAAGATAGGCCTGGAGTGAGGCCTTGTGTGCCCTGAACCTAGGGGCTTCTGGGCGGTTTCACTTCATTTCCGTCCATCTTGGGTTACTTATTTGTTGCCCTTAATATTTCTCCCTTCATTGGGCATTAATTTATAAAACTGCTCTTCCCTTCATAATATACCCACACTGTAGTTCCCTAGACAGCCAGGAAGCTGCTCCTGTCCCTGCCTGTTCCTTCTACAAACCGGGGCAAGGGAGAGCAAGTAAGCCCAGAAGCTGGTCTCCTTAGTAGTGGAAGGAGGCAGGGGAGTGGGTCCCAACTGCCGAGACCTGGGCTTCATGCCCCGACCCCAGGTCATAGGATGGAGGCCCTGGCAGCCCTTGTAAGGAAAGGGTTCTGCAGCCATGCTCACAGGAGCTCTGAGGCCTTGCGGTGGGCTTCCAGTTAGGAGTTGGGGGAGTCTTTCTTGAGTTCTATTCCTAACTCTTGTTTCGATCTACAGGTGACCCTGGCAGTAATCCCAACAAACGCCAGCGGCAGCCCCCTCTCCTGGGAGATCATCCCGCAGAATATGGTGAGGGCAGGGGGTTCCCCTCCGTGGACTCCCGTGGCTCATGTGCCCCTGCCCGTCGTCCGCCGCGAAAATTCTCACCCGTCCTCCCTCTCTTTCCTTCCCACCCCCCAGGAGGGCCCCATGGTGGGTACCACAGCCATTACCATGATGAGGGCTACGGGCCCCCCCCACCTCACTACGAAGGGAGAAGGATGGGCCCACCTGTGGGGGGTCACCGTCGGGGCCCAAGTCGCTATGGCCCCCAGTATGGTCATCCCCCACCCCCTCCCCCACCACCCGACTATGGCCCCCACGCTGACAGCCCTGTGCTCATGGTCTATGGCTTGGATCAATCTAAGATGAACTGTGACCGAGTCTTCAATGTCTTCTGCTTGTATGGCAATGTGGAGAAGGTGAGTTTCTCTCCTTGAAGAACTGGAGGAGGCCCCAGGCCTCAGATGGAGGGGAGCAGAGGGAAGAACAGTGAGGTGCATCCTGTGTAGTGCCTTCTACAGCGCAGGCAGCCTGCTTCACGAGTTTGAGTTACCTGTATCTTCAAGTACTAAGACTTAGTGCACGAGGACACCAGTGAGTCGGGAGTCCTAAGAATCTACACACCGTAGAGATGGTGATGTCACATTGCCTCTGATCTCACCACTCGGGGCCCTTCTGCATTCTCTGCTGAAAGGTGACTCCACCTGGTAGCTCGTGGCTTCTTTCTTGCTGGTCAACCTCGTCCAAGAGTGTAGTCCTGGGCTTGGTCCAGCTAATAAGAGTAATAGCAGCCTGCTGTGATGACACACACTTGGGACCCTAGCACTCAGGAGACTGGGCCACCGATAAGACCATCTCAAAGAACACAGTAAAGCTTGGAGGATTGGTGCTTCCTATGTAGTTGTTTGTGTGGGGGTCGTCCCCCCCCCCCCATACTGTATTTCTTAAATCAGAAAGGAACAGGTTAAATACTCTACATGGAAGCAAGACTTGGCTAGATAGCCTGGCTTCAGAGCCTGCCTTCTGTCCAGTGTGTACTGTAGTAGTCGCTGTAAGATGGCTTAGGGCTCAGAGGTAAAGTGCTTAAGAGGCCCAGGATTCCATCCCCAGCACTTAAAATTTTTTCTTTTGATATTGTGACTGGATGCATAACATGCCGTAGCAAAAACATGCAGGTGCAGGTGGCTTGTTCTCATTCTGCATACTGTTTTCCTCATAGGGCAGCTCTCCAGTGGGAAAAGCACTACCTGTGCTCAGCTGCCTACTTTGGATTGAGCTCATGCCGAAACTAGGCCTGCATTGGGGGTAGTTCTGTTTCCCATTCACGTGTGAGGAAATGGAAGGCCAGAGCCAGAGCAGGAGTTAGCTTCTGACTTGACAGGGGAGAGGACTCTGGTAGCTGGACACTGGTGCTAAATCGCACCCTTTTTCTCTAAGGTGAAATTTATGAAAAGCAAGCCGGGGGCCGCCATGGTGGAGATGGCTGATGGCTATGCTGTGGACCGAGCCATTACTCACCTTAATAACAACTTCATGTTTGGGCAGAAGATGAATGTCTGGTAGGTGCTGTTACCACAGGCAGGGGCAGGTGGAGGGGGGAGACATGGGCAGAGGTAATAGTCCAAGTGCTGACTGAGATCAAGGTGCTTGCACAGCCAGGGATGGGGGTGTGGGTACGGGAGCCATGTTTTCTGCTTCCTTGTGAAGCTCTGGGCAAAAGTGGGGTAGCCCCACCTCAGCTGTGCACCCTGTGAGTTAAAGCACCCGCAGTGTCAGACAGGCGTGGGACCAGCTGAGCCTCTGGCAGGCCCTGGAGGACAATGAGCAAAGACTTCCCTTTCTTTCCTTAGTGTTTCCAAGCAACCAGCCATTATGCCCGGCCAGTCATACGGGCTAGAAGACGGGTCCTGCAGTTACAAAGACTTCAGCGAGTCGAGGAACAATCGGTTCTCTACCCCAGAGCAGGCAGCTAAGAACCGCATCCAGCACCCTAGCAATGTACTGCACTTCTTCAATGCTCCGCTGGAGGTGACCGAGGAGAACTTCTTTGAGGTAGGTGGTGTGGAAGGAACTGCCTGTCTGGTACTGTCCTTGAGTTGGGCTCATTCTGTTCTGTAAGTAATCATCAGACTCCCAAGGCCATTCACTGGTCCCTGTGTTTGGGGACACAGCAAAAGACCAAAACAGATAGGTCCCCTGCTCATAGCTGGGGCAGGTGAGAGCAGAAGCATGCACGGTACAGTTCTGTACACTGTGCTCTTTGACATCTTGAACAAGCAGTGATGGCTGGTGATTTACCAAGAGTGGAGTCCGAACATAGGTCATCAAGCCTCGGGGTGTCTAGATGACTCTAGAGGGTGAAGTTTGCGAGGGCCTGGTCTGTCAGGGAAGTAGGGCAAGAGGGGCCACAATTGAGTGACACTCATTTAATGTCACTCATGCCTGCGGGGCTGCCAGGATAGGAGTTAGAGAAGCACTTTCCTTCCTTGTGCTGCCTCATGAGAGGGGTTTCTAACTTTTCAAGTTACAGGATGATAGGGCGACTTAGTTTGTGATCAAAGCTGTCTTTAGAGAACACCAGATACTGCTAGACCTGGTCTGTCTGAAGGCTCGCATAGGCAGTCCTTGGTTTCTGAATTCTTTTGTTATCTTTCTGCCCCAGATCTGCGATGAGCTGGGAGTGAAGCGGCCAACCTCTGTGAAAGTATTTTCAGGCAAAAGTGAGTCCCTTGGCCACGTTCTTTCCCCGGCCTCTGCCTCTGGGTGGTGGTGGGAGGGGACTTAGCTCTGCTGGCTCAGCCTAAGCTTGCTGCTGTCTCTTGCTTTTTATCCAGGTGAGCGCAGCTCCTCTGGGCTGCTGGAGTGGGACTCTAAGAGCGATGCCCTGGAGACCTTGGGCTTCCTGAACCATTACCAGATGAAAAACCCAAGTGAGTGTCTGTGTGTCCTGCAGAATACCCCTGGTGGCTTGTCTGGCTGCATGCCAGAGCCTTCCTGCCCGCAAGATAGGACCCTAGAGATTGCCTTTGTCGCAGACACAGGCAGATGGGACTTGGTCACCAGGAGAGCAGTCTGATGACATTCTCCTGGGAGGCCAGCCAGGCTGCTTGGTTCCACCCACCTGAGAGCTTGGGAGTTACTCAGGCCTTGCCTGATGGTGACGACTTAGATCCCTGTAATTGACCTGCAGAAGAGGGTGTGTGGGTGCCGTCGGGCGGGCGGGCGGGGATAACTGGCGGCGCGCCGGGAGTCCAGGGCCCAGCCTGACATCTGTCCCCCTGTTTGCAGACGGCCCGTACCCGTACACCCTGAAGTTGTGCTTCTCCACCGCGCAGCACGCCTCCTAATTAGATGCTGGCAAGAGCACGTCCGAGCAGGAAAACGTCTTTCCTTTATGCTGTTGGTTTTCTTTGGGTTTGTTCTGTTTTGATTTATTTTTGCAGTTTTTGTTTCTTTTTAAATGCTAGGTCAGTAGACGCTTAACCACAATGGAAATTCTGGAACTCTGGAGGGGGGGAGGGGAACTGGTATCTCCCAAGATTAACCTTCACTTTTTAAGATAACTGTATGTGTGATTTTTTTTTTTTCCCTGTTCATACATTTGTGCTGCCCATGTATCTTGGCACATTTCAATAAAATGGTTTGGAAAATAAAGCTGCAGCTGGGGCTGCAGGGTGGGGTGTCTGCTTTCCTCTTTCCCACCCAGTTTCTGAAGAGTGGTGGGCTCAGGATGGACAGAACAGATGGACAATAAACTGGAATTAAAGCAGTGACATTCTTGAATTCCAAGCAGGTTCATTTTAGTTGTGGGTATTCATTGACAAAGTGAAATTAGGCACTAGTGGATGGCTCTGGCTAAAGATGCTTGCTGGCAAGCCTGACCTAGCTGAGTTCAGTCTCAGGTGGAAGGAGAAATCAGTAATTAAAAACTTAAGTGGAGCGGGTTGTGGCAGTGCACGCCATTAATGCCCAGAAAAGCCAACCTGATCTACAGGGTGAGTTACAGTACAGCCAGGGATACACAAGGAAACACTGTCTTAAAAAAAAAAAGAGGAAGCCGGGTGGTGGTGGCGCACGCCTTTAATCCCAGCACTCGGGAGGCAGAGGCAGGCGGATCTCTGTGAGTTCGAGGCCAGCCTGGGCTACCAAGTGAGTTCCAGGAAAGGCGCAAAGCTACACAGAGAAACCCTGTCTCGAAGAAAAAAAAAAAGTCGTTGGGCTTGGTGGGAAGTACCTTAACCTGCTCAAGTGTTTAGGAAGAAAAACGTTCTGAATAGTGCTCTGTATGACAAGTGACAGTGGTACCTTGGCTCGAGCAGAGTGTCATTGTTCAGAGGTGTCATGGTTTATTTAACCTGGTCCTGAAAGTAGTTTCCAGGCACCTCTTGCTAACTAACCTGACATTCATCCTGAAGTAAACTTGACAGTGGAGTTAGAGGATGCAAACTGTCAAGTGTTTGGTAGGTGGTCCTGGGATTCCGATGGAAACCTCCAAAGATGACTTCAGGAGAAGCAGGTCCCAGGAGGAGCATGGGTTAGGGACTGATGTCCTGGAGGAAGGAGATAATTTGCAGGGGAGCAGGCCCCACTGGTGGCAGAGGTGACAAGAATGTGTCCTTGATAATTTGGACACTCCAGCTAAATAGCCATCCACAGCCACATGGTATCAGATGGGAGTACTAAACCTACTTGAGTTTGCTGTAGGTAATCAAGGCGGTTCAATGAGTTTTATCACCATCCACTATCCCAGTTCATTTTCTGTTGGCAACTTGACCTATAGGTGTATACACACTCCACAATTATTTTCTTTTTATACTAGTTACATTAAATGATACACATTTCACTGAATGAAATGAGGACATGACCACTCCATGGTATGGTTGAAGAGGTTTTTATTCTAGATGTGAGAGAACAGCCAGAGGCATCTAGAACTAGAGTCCAGAGTAGAGAGAGAAAGTAGTAGACTGAACATGACCAGTAGACTGAAGCCAGCAATGGGTTGGGGGTGGGGCAAAGAGGTCACATGGCCAAAATGGCAGGGTTATATAGGAATGAGAAGCTAGGAGAAGAGAAACCCAAGACTTCAGGGTAGGGGATGCTGAGGAGTCACAGGTACAGACTTAACCAGTGTGTGCTTTGGTATGCTAATAGGCACCACAGTTAGCCATTTGTCCCAGGGTTTCTGGACCTAAAGTTCTGATCTTTTTGATAAAGACAACAATCTCTTTGTGCTGTTTCTTGGCTGAAATTAGGGTGTCCTTTCTTTTCTCTCCCATGTTGGTATCTGCATAGGACTTTCAGTTTCCTATTGAATAGAAAGTAAAACATTACTCACTCCTGATAGCTGCTACATCTTTCTCTTGAAAAAAGCCTGCCTATCTCATTTAAGTCTGGGTAGCACACATTCATGAAGAAGGAAATGTCCCACTGGCCCAGAGACATCTGTTCACCCTCTTGGTAAACATCCCCCTAGGGAGCACACTTACACAGTAGTTTATGCTCTTGGGTAATGCTTTCTCAGTACTTTTTGGGGTGTGTGTGTGTGTGTGTTTTAATAGTATAGCAGGCAGGGTGTGGTGGCTCACACCTTTAAACCCAGCACATGGGAGGCAGAGGCAGGCAGATCTAGTGAGTTCAACACCAGCCTACAAAGTGAGTTCTAGGACAAGACAGCCAAGGCTACACAGAAACCCTGTCTTAAAAAAAAAAAGAAAAAAACAAAACAAAACAAAAAAACCTCAAAAAACAAAACAAAACAAAAATAAACCAGAAAAAAAAAAGGACATTTATTTTGCTTTGAGACAGGGTCTATCTATGTAGTTCTAGCTGTCCTGGAACTTGCTATGTAGACTAGGCTGGCCTTGAACTCACAGAGATCCACCTGCTTCTGCCCCTTGAGTGCTAGGATTAAAGACGTGAGCCACCACACTGAGCTTTTTTGGGTTCTTTTTAGAGTCTAATTGCTGGTATGTTGGTGCATACCACCCTTTTTCAGGAGGCAGAAGGAGGATCCTTGCAAGTTCCAGGCCAGCCCCAGGTTTATATAGACCCTATATAAAAAAAGGAGAGGCTAGGGATTGTCCAGTGGTAGAGTGCTTGCCTATGCTGCCTGCCACAGTCCCCTTGCACCACAAAACAAAGGAAAGTGGGCTTTAGAGTCATTTACTCCGGCCTAAGCACTTGTAAATGTCCAGAAACCATGAACCAGTGACTTCCTTGGTCCAGGAGCCAGCTTCCCAAGTCCCGCGCGAAGTTGTACCACTTTCTGGCGGTAAGGGAATTAAAACTGACTAATTCTAGCCTGTCTGTATCCTAGCAACTTTTTTGTTACCATATTCAGGCAAGGACTGTATATTTCTAGACTGCTTTCATTATGTCTTTGACTATCTCAGTTGTCTGCAATTTTCTTGTTATAACACAGCGCTGTGCTGAACTTTACACAGAATTTTTCAGCAGCCAAATACTTTCTCAGGCCAGCTTCCCACTGGGCCAAAGGTCTTACTTTTATGTAACGTCCTCAGCACATAGACAGGACGGAGTGCTGTTTACGGTTGCCCTTACTAAAGATGGCGAAGTAGGTGGGCCTCACTACTAAAGGGCGACGGCTGCGGTAGCTTCGATGCCCTTGACCAACATGGCGGACATTTGTGCCCGCCCCCTTTGTTTTCTCCCATAGAGCATCGCGCAGCGCCAGTGTCGGAGGAGAGGGCTGCAGGGATGATGACTGTTTCCAGCAAACTGCGCTTTCTGCTGATGCAGCGTGAGTTACCCCTTAATCTGTGGGGACCTGTTGCTGTGTAGTCTTGTTATAGAGGCAGGAGCCCCTGTGTAGTGTAATGAAATGATAACTTTTAGGCCTGTCTTCCGATCTGAATTCTCTGTCCTCAAGCTTGGGTCATTCCCACAAACAAGGGTCTTAACTAAAGTAGTCTCAGACCGAAGCCACTCCTAAGCACACCCTAATCTTAAAAGCTATGTCTGGTGAGGCCAGGGTCGCTGAGGAACTTGTGTTGGGTCACTTAGGTGTGTGCTGTTAACGTGCCCCCCCCCCCCATTCTGGCATCTCAAAGGCCCCTCCGATCTCTCCCCAGAGCTGAGAGGTACTACCCAGCTGTACGGCAACGTCAGCCTTCGCTCTCTGAGCTCTTCTGCACAAGAGGCCCTCAAAAGAGCCCCTGAGGTATCTTCAGACCACAATTATGAATCGATTCAAGTGACATCGGCCCAGAAGCATGTTCTCCACGTACAGCTAAGCCGGCCAGAGAAGAGGAATGCCATGAACAGGGCTTTCTGGAGGTCTGCAGATGCAGGCTGAGAGGAGGCAGGGGTGGGCAGGCGCAGGGGCTCCTCACTCCAGATACAGCCCCGCACTTCTTGCTCCTCTGCAGGGAGTTGGTGGAATGCTTCCAGAAGATATCAGAAGACTCCGACTGTCGGGCTGTTGTAATCTCTGGTGCAGGAAAGATGTTCACTTCAGGTACGACTCTCCCTGCTGGCCCTCCTGCCTCCTGGTGGTTAAGCCGCCATGCTGCCTTTTCCTTTGCTTTCTTTGCTGATTTTGTTTGTTCACCCTTGCTTTTTGCGTTTTTTATTTCCCTCCCCCTAAGTAGCTGGGGCTGGCCTAGAACTCTCTATTTAGACTAGGTTGGTCTAGAATTTGAAGTAATTCTCCTGTCTCAGCTTCCTAAATGTTGAATGCTGGGATTATAAACATGCATGACACCATACCTGAGCAGTGCTTTGAACGCCTCCTTTTCTTCTGCAATGCTTAATTAAAAAAAAAAAAAAATCAGCTGGTGGTGCACACCATTAGTATCAGCACTCTGTAGAGGCTGGTGGATCTCAGAGTTCGAGACCAGCCTGGTCTACAGAGAGAGTTTCAGGACAGCCAGAGCTACACAGAGAAACTCTGTCTAGGGAAAAAAAAATTACTTGTGTGTGTGACTTGTGACTAAACAAGTCAGATGACAGCTTTGGGGAGCTGATTCTCTCCTTCCCCAGGATGGAACTCAGCTGGTCACTGGTCAGGCTTGGTTGCAAGCACCTTTACTCACTGAGCCATCTTGCTGGCCCTGCTGTGGTTCTCAATTAGGGTTTTAATTGTTTAAAAAAGATTTATTATTATTATTATTATTTTGGTTTTTCGAGACAGGGTTTCTCTGTGTAGTTTTGGTTCCTTTCCTGGAGCTCGCTCTCTAGACCAGGCTGGCCTCAAACTCACAGAGATCCTCCTGCCTCTGCCTCCTGAGTGCTGGGATTAAAGGCGTGCGCCACCCCCGCCCGGCAGGATTTATTATTTTTAATTATGTATGTGCATCTGTGTGAGTGCAGGTGCCCACAGAAGCCAGTGACGTCAGAGTCTCCGCTTCTGGAGTTGCAGGTGGTTGTGACCAGTTTCATGTGGTTGCTGGGAATCAAACCCAGTCTGCTGCAGGAATAGCACAGATGGGCTCCTAACTGTTGAGCCATATAAACAGCCCTAGGTAGGTTTTTTAATTTGTTTTTGTTTGTTTGTTTTTTGGGGTTTTTAAGGCAGGGTTTCTCTGTGTAGTGAGACCTCATCACAAAGAACCAACTAGAAATTTGAGGACTGGAAAAAAAAATACCTGAAGTAAAAAAATCACTGGATGTGTTTCACAGCAGAACTAGCTGTCCTGGAACTTGCTCTGAAGACCAGGCCTGGCCTCGAACTCACAGATATCTGCCTGCCTCTGCCTCGAGAGTGCTGGGATTAAAGGTGTGCGGCACCACCACCAGGCTAGACCAGGTATTATTATTATTTTTTTTAAATCTACATTTCTAGTCAGGATACTTTTTTTTTTAAGATTTTATTTTTTTATTATGTATACAGCATATATGACAGCAGGCTAGAAGAGGGTGCCAGATCTCATTACGGATGGTTGTGAGCCACCATGTGGTTGCTGGGAATTGAACTCAGGACCTCTGGAAGAGCAGTCAGTGCTCTTAACCGCTGAGCCATCTCTCCAGCCCCAGCTATTTTTTTAAAGTCTATTTTAAAACATTCACATGTGAATGTACTCAGGGGCTGGCATAAAACCCAGAATTCCCTCCCCACAAATTCAAATATAGAAATTAGTACAACAGAACGTGACAGGATCCTTAAGTTGGATTCCCATAGTGGACCTGTGACCTTGAACAAGGCCCTGGACCTCTCCAAGCCTGTATCGGTGTCAGCCAAGTGTGTCATCATAGTCACAGGCTTTTGCAATAACTGAGCACCTGATGTAGAAGTCACTCCACTGACCTTTCTCCTCTTTGGATCCTTCTCCATTTGTTACCATGGCTTTTTCTGGCATCTCTGTTCTGCTGTGAAACACACCCAGTGATTTTTTAACTTCAGGGTTTTTTTTTCCAGTCCTTAAATTTCTAGTTGGTTCTTTGTGATGAGGTCTCACTGTATGGGCCAGGCTGACCTTGAATTTCTGATCCTCCTGCCTTAACCTTCTTCCTGCCTACCTCTTGTTTATTATTTTTTGGGGGGTTGTTTATATTTTTGCATGTGTGTGTACATGTATGAAGGCACTAGCACGAGGTTGAAGTCCAGTGTCTTTCTTGATTGCTCTCAACCTTATACATTGCGGCATGTGTCTCCCTGAGTCTGGAGTTTGACAGCCAAGCTAGTCTGACTAGCCAGCTTGCTCCAGGGCTCCCCTTACTCTTGAGCCCAAGCTGAGATTACAGGTTGAATTGTGATCCTACTTAGTCTTATTAAATAAAAACCCAGAGTCAGATATTAGAGTGAAAGCTGAAAGATCAGAGAAGCCGAGCAGCCACCAGTAACTTCTTACCTCTGCAAATCCTGAAGCTGAATGGGGAGCTCTCCTGTCTCTATGAATCCTCAGACTGAATGGGCACTGGTTCCTGTCTCCACCCACCTTATATTCCTGTCTCCACCTCCCAGGTGCTGGGATCAAAAGCTTGAGCCTCTCAGGTGCTGGGATCAAAGGCATGCACTACCACCTCCAGGCTCTGTTTCTCCTTTAGACTGGTTCAATCTCGTGTAGCCCAGGGTGGCCTTGAACTCTTGATCTTCCTGTTTCCTCCTCCCAAGTGCAGGGAATAAAGGTTTGTGTCAACACGGCCTGGCCTCTGTGGTCAACTAGTGGCTAGCTCCGCTCTCTGATCTTCAGGCAAGCTTTAATTGTCAGAACACAAACAAAATATTAAACAATAGGGGCTGGAGAGATGGTTCAGTGGTTAGAGCACTGGCTGCTCTTCCAGAGGTCCTGAGTTCAATTCCCAGCAACCACATGATGGCTCACAACCATCCGTAATGAGATCTGGCGCCCTCTTCTGGCCTGCAGGGGCACATGCAGGCAGAACACTGCATATAATAAATAAATAAAGTCTTTAAAAAAAATGTTATACAATAACAGGTGGCTGCTGTGCCCACCTGGTTTTCACAGGGGTTCTTTTGTAGCTAGCACTTTACCCAAGGAGCTATCACTCCTGCCCGGCCCTTTTTTTTTTTTTTTTAATTTATTTATTTATTATGTATACAATGTTCTGTCTGCACATATCCCTGGAGGCCAGAAGAGGACACCAGATCTCATTATAGATGGTTGTGAGCCACCATGTGGGTGCTGGGAATTGAACTCAGGACCTCTGGAAGAGCAGCCAGTGCTCTTAACCTCTGAACCATCTCTCCAGCCCCTCGGCCCTTTTTTTTAGACAGGGTTTCATTAGTAGCTCAAACGACCTTAAACACGAGACTGCCCCAGCTTCACCCCCATGGAGTACTGGGATTACAGGCTTGTGTAGTCATGTCTGAATTGACAGTGCACTTGTCTGTCTCCACATGAGACCAAGGATTATGGTGTTATCTGAATCATCCCGTAACTGAACGTCTACTGCGTACCTAGCCCTGCCCCACGCGCCTGGATACACTGCTGAAAAAGATAAAAACAAATGAACTGACAGCATGGGGCGGACGGTCCAGAGGTGAAGAGCACCGGCTGCTCCTGCAGGGTACTGGGGTTGGAATCCCAGTGGTGGTGGCTCAGAACCTTCCTTAACCAGTTCCAGGGGATCCGATACCCCCTAGTCTGGCCTCCATTGGCATCAGGCATGTGCCTGGTGTACAGACATACATGCAGGCAAAACACCCATACACATAAAATAAAATAGCTGGGGGTGCTGGGCGGTGGTGGCGCACACCTTTAATCCCAGCACTCGGGAGGCAGAGGCAGGCGGATCTCTGTGAGTTCGAGGCCAGCCTGGGCTACAGAGAGAGATCCAGGACAGCCAGAGCTGTTACACAAGAAACCCTGTCTCGAGCTCCCCTCCCCCCAAAAAGAAGTTACAGATGGTTGTGAGCTACTCCATCAATGCTGGGAACTGGACCTCTCAAAGCCCACCCCCAAAAGAGCAACAAGTGCTCTTTTTTCTTTGTTATTTAATAAAGTTTTTTTTTTGTTTGTTTTGTTTTTGTTTTTTGAGACAGGGTTTCTCTGTGTAGCTTTGCGCCTTTCCTGGAACTCACTTGGTAGCCCAGGCTGGCCTCGAACTCACAGAGATCCGCCTGCCTCTGCCTCCCGAGTGCTGGGATTAAAGGCGTGCGCCACCACCGCCCGGCCTGTTATTTAATAAAGTTTTATTTTCCAAATGTACAGCTGTTTGAACCTGCTCCTGCATCTTCGCCAGCAGCCGGGCATCTCCACCCTTTGTGTTTTGGGTGGAGATGACTTGGGCTCTGTGCTTTGAAACCAGCTTGCTCAGTCTTTCACCGAGTAGCTCCTGGAGGGCTGCCCTGGCCAAGGAACGGCCGCTCTTCCGTCTCTTGGAGAGCACAGACTTTGCCGTATGGAGCTTCCTCAGACAGGACTAGATTGTTGAGCCTGTCTTGAACGCTGCCTCCGGACCACTTCCTTTTGGCCTTGCCACCAGACTTGTTTACTCCGTCTTTGTCTTCTTTTGGCTGACTTTCTGGCATCTTTCTTCTCTTTGTCATCCTTGGGTGGCATGATGAAGCTCGGAGAGTGGCAATGACCGTGGCGGCCTTGCTGTGATGTCTGCAACAAGCGTTCTTAACCACTGAGGAATCTCTGACGCTCTCAGTGGTTTATTTAGTTTATTTATTTTGAGACTGTTTTGCACTCTGTAGCCCAGGCTGTCCTGGAACTCAGGATGTAGACCAGACTGGCCTCAAACTTAAAGTAATCCTTCTGCCTCTGCTTCCCAAGTGTTGGGCTCCAGGCATGCAGTTGAAGGATTTTGTCTTTATTTGGACCGCCCCCCCACCCCACTCACACACAGGGTTTCTCTGTGTAGTTTTGGAGCCTGTTCTGGATCTCACTCTGTAGACCAGGCTGGCCTCGAACTCACAGGAGATCCGCCTGGCTCTGCCTCCCGAGTGCTGGGATTAAAGACGTGCACCACCACTGCCTGGCTTTTGGATTGGTTTTTAAAATATTGAGGATGAACCCAAGACTTCTGCGTTCTAGGCAGGTGCTCCACCACTGAGCCACACCCCCAGGTCTTCACTTGTGAGTTCTTAGCCAATACTTTAGCACAGAGCCATGGCCTCCACCTCACTGGCGAGTAATAGGCAAGTGCTCTTCCCAGACGACGACAAACCAGCTCGGACTTCTTTATTCTGCATGGGTTGGAAGACGGGGCTCACAGGCTCCCCCTAGCTGTGTAGGAATAGTTTACCGTTCATGGAGAATGTCTTTCTTGGGAACACCAATATTCCCAGCATTGGGGAAGCTGAAGCCCGAGACTCTAAATTGAGGTCAGCCTGGGCTGCATAGAGAAACCGTGTCTTAAGCAAAACAAAACAACAAATAGATATTTGGTCACCTACAGGAAATCCCTGATACCCCCGACCTTTGTGAGCTTCTTTCTCTGTTGTGGAGATGTTTGTGTCTGGACCCACAGCTCCGGGGTTCTGAGCCCTGACGGGGTAGTAAGCGGGGCTGTGAAAGCTAAGGAACCCCCTCATGCCTTCTCACCAGGGATTGACATCATAGACATGGCAAGCCTCCTGCAGCCCCCAGGAGATGATGTGGCGCGCATGGCCTGGTACCTCCGTGACCTCATCAGCAAATACCAGAAGACCTTCACTGTCATTGAGAAGGTGACTCAGGGCTGGGTGGCATCCCTTCTGCCTACCCTGCCTCCGCCAGATTTGGCCCCAACCCTCCTTTTCCATTTTAGTGCCCCAAGCCAGTGATTGCTGCCATTCACGGAGGCTGCGTTGGTGCAGGTGAGTCTGTAGCCGCTGGCCACCACCAGGTGACACTACTAACCCTCTGCACTCCCCCACCCCCACCCAGTGGCCTCAGCCCAGCTGTTGCTAATTAGACCTGGTCCCCAGCTGTGTTCCCGTGTTTGGGGAGGAGGAATTGGTTCCTGTCATTATTCACTGTCCGGGGCCTTCCCCTTCCAGGTGTGGACCTCATCTCTGCCTGTGACATTCGCTACTGTGCCCAGGATGCTTTCTTCCAGGTCAAGGTGAGGCACTTCCTGAGCTCTTCCCTTCTGGAACCCTTGTGGTGCTAGGCAGCCACAGAATGCCGCACCCACCCCCCCCACCCCCCACCCACCTCCACCCCCGGCAGGGACAGTGCAGGCCAAGGCAGCTGGTCCTGAGGGGTTCCTGGAAGAAGGTGTAAGAACCAAACCTTATGAGGCGGGGCATGGAGAGGCAGCCTGGGCTGTAGAGTGAGTGGAGGGCTGCCATGCTTTCTTTTCCTGTTGCTGCGATAAAACGTTTGGAAAAGCAACTTACAGAGAAGGAGTTTATCTTAGGCCACAGTTCCAGGTACAGTCCACCATGGCGGGGAAGTCAGGCACTGAGAGCTTGATGCAGCTATCACATTACCAGTTCAGAAGAGAGCAGTGCATGCTGGTGCCCAGCCCCCCAGGCCAGGCTCCTGGCCGGCCACAATGAACTGCATCAGTTAATGCAGTCAATTAACGTACCCCCCTCCTGCTGGGGGGTGGCACACGCCTTTAATCCCAGCACTCGAAAGCAGAGGCAGCAGTTCGAGGCCAGCCTGGTCTACAGAGGGAGTTCTGGGACAGCCAGGGCTACACAGAGAAACCCTGTCTCGAAAAAACAAAACAACAACAACAACAAAAGATAGTAGGCAGAGCTGATCTCTAGGTTCTGTCAGGTTGACAGTAAACACAAGCCGTCACACAGACCAACCTGAGCTACCCAGGGAGACCTTGTCAGAACGGTGGTGAGGTTGGGGGTGCTGTGGGTGTATGTAGCTCAGTGGTAGCGGGCACGAGTTGGCACTGCCCAGCACTGAAAGGGGACGCAGGCTCAGCTGTAGAGGATGCATCCTGGGCACTTCCGTCAGTGAGCTAGTGGTCTATGCACAGGGACAGCTGGGAATGCCGCCCTCTGTGCTGGAGAGGGGAGGAGGCGGGCTAGAGCCCAGGGTTCTGGAAAGGGCCTTGTGAGCAAGCTGGGGGGCCAGGTAGCAAGGGCATCTGGAGAGCGTCTGAGCTGGAGGGTGCTGAGCCTCTGCAGGCAGTGGACGGTGGTGCACTGAGCTTGTGGGGAAACAGTAGCAGACACAGAGCAAACACTGATAACTCTTTTAGGAGGTGGATATCGGTCTGGCTGCCGATGTGGGAACCCTGCAGCGACTGCCCAAGGTCATCGGGAACCAGAGGTGAGGGGGTGACAGTGACCCGGAGAGGAGGGGTCAGAGCCAGGATGACAGTGGCTCCTGAACTCCCTCCCCCTTATGCAGCCTGGTCAATGAGCTGACCTTCACCGCCCGGAAGATGATGGCTGACGAGGCCCTGGACAGTGGACTGGTCAGGTAGGACCCTGACTGGCTGGTGGCAGGGAGGGGCATAGGGCCATCCAGGCCAGGGTGGGGTTCCATGGTCTCCTGTATCCTCACCACAGAGTCCAAATGGCCTTTCTCAGAGCGGCTGTTTCTTCTCTGAGCATTACCCTGTGGTTGAGCCCATTGTTTGGGGTTTCCCATTTTCTCTGAGGCCACCTGGCCATCCACAGGGGAGAGGGAGAAGGTCCCTCTTACCTGCTCCTTCCCTCGCAGCCGCGTGTTCCCAGATAAGGACGTCATGTTGAATGCAGCCTTTGCCCTGGCGGCTGAGATTTCCAGCAAGAGCCCCGTGGCTGTGCAGGGGTCAAAAATCAACCTAATCTACTCCCGAGACCATTCTGTGGACGAGAGCCTTGACTACATGGTAAGGCCCGCCTACACCAATCATGGCCCTCCCAGGCCCAGAGCCATCAGCTAGGGAATCTGCACAGGCATGCCCCTCCTCTGATTGGTGCCCTGTCGGTCACCCCGATCCAGGCCACCTGGAACATGAGCATGCTGCAGACCCAGGACATCATCAAGTCGGTCCAGGCAGCCATGGAGAAGAAGGACACAAAAAGTGTCACCTTCTCCAAGCTCTGAGCGCCTTCCTGATCCTGAGAGAGGAAGGCTCCATGGAGAGTCGGGATGGTTCCCTCAGTGCCTTCCCCCACGTGGTCTGCCAGTGTAGAACTTTATGACTTAGTTTTTCAGCCCCAGGGGCTTATCTTCACTGGGAACAATAAAATTTAAACCCAGCTCGGTGTCTTACTGCAGTGGGTGGGAGCTCAGATGCCTGGCTCCAGGAGGGCAATTGGGAAGCTTGGGAGGCGAATCTGACTGGGCCAAGAGGAAGTGTGCAGGGAACTGAGGCCCCAGAAGGGTGAGAGGCCACACCTGTTCCCTGTGCCTGTCCCCAGTCAGGCGTGGCACAGCACAGTAGGCCTGGCGTTGTTGGGCGTTGTTGGGCTGAGCTCGTGGTTGCCAATCCTGACCCTCATGTCTTTTTCTCCTTTTTCTTCCTGTGCAAGAGCAGCAAATGCTCTTAACCCCTGAGCCGTCTCCAGCCCCTTTTACAAAAGTGTTGATTTGGGGCCTGGAGAGATGGCTTAGGGGTTAAGAGCACTGACTGCTCTTCCAGAGGACCCAGGTTCAATTCCCAGCACCCACATGGTGGCTCACAACCATCTGTATTGAGATCAGATTCCTTCTTCTGGTGTGCAAGGAGACAGAGCACGTGTGTGTGTGTGTGTGTGTGTGTGTGTGTGTGTGTATAAATACATGAATAAACACCTTTTTTTAAATGTTGCTTTTGTTATTTACTTGTGTGTGTTTGTAAGGAAGTTGACTCTCTGTTTCTACCACATGAGTCCATGAATTGAACATGGTGGCCTTTACCTGCTGAGCCAACCTGGCAGGCTTTTTATTTTATTTTATTTTTAGACACAATGTCATGTGGACAAGTCTGGCCGGGAACTCACTGTGTAGTTGAGAATGACCTTGTACTCCGATTTACAGGTGTGCATTAGCACATCTGCCCAATTGCATTTTTGTTTTTTAACTTTGGGTTTTCTTATCCATGAATAATCTTGGCCTTCTGGATTTACGTTTGGAATGAGTGTAAGGCTAAACATTTACTCTGTGTCTTCTGTGTGCCGAGTCATGTTACAGGCATTTATTAACTTGGTGAGCCCCTCCCCCACCTTCCTTCTCCTTGTGTGGCTGGGGCTGGAACCCAGGGCCCCACACATACCAGACAAGGGTCCCACCTCTGAGCTCTAGCTCCAGCCCTCTCTTTACTTTTTATTTCTATTTTAATTTTACTTTGGGTTTTGTCCGAATGTCTGCATGTGTGCCTCAACCTTTGGTGGTATTCCTCAGGACCCCTCAGCCTTGTGTTTTGTTTATGTGTTTGTTTGTTTTCCCCAAGACAGGGTTTCTCTGTGTAGCCCTGACTGTCCTGGAACTCACTTTGTAGACCAGGCTGGTCTCGAACTCACAGATCTACCTGCCTCTGCCTCCTGATGCTGGGATTAAAGGCGTGTACTACCACTGCCAGGCTTGGTTTTTTGCTTTTTTATTTTATTTTATGTTTTGCCTGTATATATGTGCAGCACATGCATGTATCACCCACAGGTGCCAGAAAAGGGTGTTGGGTCCCTGGGACTGAAGTTGTGGATGGTTGTAAGTCGTCACATGGGTGCGGGGACTCGTGAATCCAGGTTATGTGATCTTCACTGCTGAGCCCCCTCTCCAGCCCTGACTTTGCTTGGCTTTTGAAAAGTCTTTTTAATTTATTTATGTATGAATGTTTCGCCTGCATGCGTGTCTGCAACAAAACACGATGCCCAAAAGGAAACCGAAGAGGAAAGCGCTTATTCCACTCACAGTTCCATATAACAGTTCATCATCAGAGGAAGTCAGGACAGGAACTCAGGCAGGGCAGGAACCTGGAGGCAGGAGCTGATGCAGAGGCCATGGAGGGGTGCTGCTTACTGACTTCTTCCCCATGGTTTGTTCAACCTGCTTTCTTATAGAACCCAGGACCACCAGCCCAGGGATGGCACCACCCACAATGGGCTGGTCTCCTTCATCAATCAGTAATTAAGAAAATGCCCTACACACTTGTCTGCCTACAATTCTGTCTTACTGAGGAATTTTTTCTGAGTTCAATTGAGTTTCCCGCCTCCCAGACAACACATTTGTGTCAAGTCGGCATAAAATTAGCCAGGCCACCATATGTAGATCACTGGTGCCGTCAGAGGCCAGAAGAGGGCGTGCTGAACTGAAGTGACCGGCTGGTGGCTGTGAGCCACCCGATGTGCGTGCTGGGAACCAAACCCAGGTCCTGGGCAAGAGCAAGCTCTCTTAGCTGATGAGCCGTCTCTCCAGCCCCTTTACCTAGCTGCCGATTATGCTAGGCTGGCTAGGCCGTGAGCCCCGGGGATCTAGGACCGGTTTCTGCCTCTTCCAGTGCGGGGAGTCCATTTTGTGTGCTGGCCCCTGGGCTGCACTCAAGCCTTCCGAGCTGTGTGGGAAGAACGCTGCTGACTGAGCCACCTCCCCAGTGTCCTCCTTTTTCATTTGAAGACAGGATCTCATGGATCCCAAGCTGGCCTCGAACTCCTGATCCCTTTGCCTTTACCTCCCAAGCACTGAGATTACAGGCGTGTGCCACCATACTTAACATTTCTTCTTCTTTTGAGACAGGCAGGGTTTGGATTTTTGTTCCTCAAGCTTCAGCCTCCTGAGCAGCTGGGGTTGATTACAGGCCTATGCAACTGGGCCAGTGTTTCCTCACCCCCACCCCACCACTGTCGGATGTCCTTGAACTCATAGCAATCCTCCTGCCTCAACCTCCTTAGTGTTCAGATTACAGACATGAGCATCCTGTCTGTCTCCTGCTGTGAATATTCTTTTTCTTCCTTCCTTCCTTCCTTCCTTCCTTCCTTCCTTCCTTCCTTCCTCCCTCCCTCCCTCCCTCCCTCCCTCCCTCCCTCCCTCCCTCTCTCTCTCTCTCTTTCTCTCTTTTTTTTTTAAAGAGTTATTTATTTACTATGTATATAGCATATGTGACTGCAGGCCAGAAAGAGGGCACCAGATCTCATTACAGATGGTTGTGAGCCACCATGTGGTTGCTGGGAATTGAACTCAGGACCTCTGGAAGAGCAGTCAGTGCTCTTAACCTCTGAGCCATCTCTCCAGCCGTCTCTTTCTCTTTTTGACACAAGGTCTCTCTACATAGCCTTGGTCATCCCAGAACTGACTATACAGACCAGGTCTCCAACTCACAGGGATCCACCTGCCTCTGCCTCCTGAGTACTGGGATTAAAGGTGTGCACCACCATGACCAGTTTTGTGTTTTTTTGTTTTTTTTTTTTGTTTTTTTTTTTTAGGTAGAGTCTTGCTCTGTAGACCAGGCTGCCTGCCCCTGAGCGTGCAAGTAATTCTCCTGCCTCTGCTTCCTGAGTGCCAGGATTACAGACACCACACTTGGCTTTGTTGCTGGGTTTTCGTTTGTTTGGGATGGGATCTCCTGTAGCCTCTCCTGGCATTGATTTCTCTGTGTAGTGAAGGATGATCTTGATCCCTCTGGAACACCCTGCTCGTGGGTGCTTGGATGCTGGCACGTATCACCACACTCTGTTTATGTAGGGCTGGATATGAACCCCAGGGTTTCCTGCAGGCCAGGCTGAGCTAACCTGAGACTTGCAGCCAATCTCCTGCCTCCGCCTTCTACATGCTAGGGTTATAGCCTGGGTCCCCAGTCCGACCACTGTCTGCTGTTCATTCCAAGGATTCATAGGTGGATACTATCATTTCCTCCACTTTACAAATGGGCAGAGTGGGGTGCTGGCTCCGGAATGGGCAAGGGTGGAACTGGATCCCAGAACCTGTGGCCCCAGCTGTGTGTGCTCTAAGCCCCTGTCTTATAGTGTGCAGGGTCAGGAGGTACACGGCACTCCTCATCATTCTGGCTTGCTTCTACTGGCCACCTGTCCAGGTACTGCTGTGGCCCAGCCCCTGCCCTGCCCACTTGGTCTCACCCTCCCTCTGCCAACAGTCCGCAAGGCAGGGCTTTATGGTTCTGATAAAGCCGTGTAAGGTCGAAGTCCAGGAACACTTCCTCCTTGTGGGGACCTCGGAGGGGCAGCATCCCCGCCAGGACGGGAGGCTAGGGTGTGCCCTAGAGATCCCCACCAGAGAGACTTCATGAACTCTCCCCTGCTAGCCACTCCCTCTAGTATAAGGGCCACCTGCAGCCGGCCACCGTCCCACACTCCCTCACTTCTGTCAGGACAAGCTATCTGCTCAGACCCTCAAGATGGCCTTTGTCCCAGCACCAGGCTACCAGCCCACCTACAACCCGGTGAGATGCCCACCTGAGCCCACACCTCCTCTTCCCCAAACCCCATTTTCCTTCTCCCCCTTTGCCATGCTGGGCAAGCATTCTTCTATTGAGCCACATCTCCAGCCCCTCACCCCTAGTTTCATCCCCTTGCTTAAGGGACTGGGGGTCTTCGGGGTGACGGGGAAGGGCTGTGACAGGCAGGCGGCCTCTGAGGCTCTTTAACTGGCTCCTTCTTCAGACTCTGCCCTACAAGAGGCCCATTCCAGGTGGCCTCAATGTTGGAATGTCCGTTTACGTCCAAGGAGTAGCCAAAGAGAACATGAAACGGTGAGACGCCCCCCCACCCCACCCCTGCTCGCCCCAGGGAGGGGCTTTCTCCCTTTCCTAACTCTGGCGCCAGGCACAGTTGGGAGCATGCTGGGACTCTGGTGTTCGCGGGGTCCCTCTGGCTGCTTATGGGGTACAAATGGCCTATGGGGACCGAAACGAACAGGGAGACCCCAATCTAGGAGGTGGAGAAAAGGAAGTGATGGAGGTCCCGTAGAGTAAAGGACTGAGTGAGTCCTGTCACGATTGGCCAAGAGGTGAGGAAGGGGTCGCCAGGAGAGGTAGCCCCATGGCTGGGATAATACCCTGACAGATTTGAGAGAGTGAATTCAGATCACAAGCTCAGAGCCTAAGGTCACCCCCCTGGGGGTGGGGACACTCAGCCACTGTGTAACATAGAGCGAGTACTGGACATCTCTGTACTTCAGCTTCCCATCTGTAAAATGGGCGGATTGTCAGGTTTCAATGTGCAAGAGAGCAGTTCCACTGAGGCTTGGCTCTTTCCAGGCTTCAGTGTGGGAATTATTGATTAAGTTCCCCATGTTGTTTCCTTATCATTTCAATGTGCATGTGTGTGCAGAGTGTGCGTACGGTGTGTGTGCATGCGTGAATGCATGTGTGTGCAGTGTACGTACGTGTGTGTGCATGCGTGAATGCATGTGTGTGCAGAGTGTACGTACGTGTGTGTGCATGCGTGAATTATGCACACACACGTACATGTGTTAACCTGAGGTATCTTTCTCAGGCACCATCCACCTTGTGTGTGTGTGTGTGTGTGTGTGTGTGTGTGTGTGTGTGTGTGTGTATGCACATACGTGTGTTCATATGGAGGCCAGAGGTCAACTTTAGGTGTCACTTCAGTCACACTTGGTTTGTTTTTTGTTTGTTTTGCTTTGCTTGTTTCTGAGACAGGGTCTCACTGTGTAGCCCTGGCTAGCCTGGAACTTGCTCTGTAGCCCAGGCTGGCCTCAAACTCACTGAGATTTGCCTGACTCTGGGATTAAAGGCATGTGCCAACACACCTGGTTTATCTACCTTGTTTTTTGGGACAGAGTCTCTCACGGGGGCCCCAGAGCTTGTTGGTTAGGCTCGCTGGCCAGTGAGCATGCGCCCCGCGGGTTTGTCGTGCTAACACAACAAGCACCAGCTGAGGTGTTCCTCCAGCCCCCCCCCCCCCCCAGTTCTTGCGTCTTTATTTGGTGTTCCCTCCTTATTAAAGAGCCACGTGTGCTGAGAACAGAGTCTGGATGGGAACAAAGATCCTTGTCCTCAGGTGGTGCATGCCTGTGATCCCAGAATTCCTGAGGCTGAGGCAGGAAGATGACAAGTTAGAGGCCAGCCTGGGCTACAGAGTGAGCCCTGACCTACATCATCCCCCACACCAGCCCCCAAAAGAAAAAAATGATAAAGGGAAGACGGAAGTCTGATCACTGAGGAGACTCTGGGGAGAGGAAGAGAAGTAGGGAGGGGGGTGGCCACAAGACCCGGCCCTACGGAACTCAGGCTCCCTGCCTGCCTGTGAGCTGGGTCAGGGTGGCTCCAGGACACGGAGGTCAGAGCTTCTACAGAAGACCTCACGCGCTGGCAGCAGACGCTGACGCAGCCCTTCGTATGCCACCAGGTTCCGAGTGGACTTCACGGTGGGGCAGGATGAGGGGGCAGACATCGCCTTCCACTTCAATCCCCGCTTTGACGGCTGGGACAAGGTGGTCTTCAACACGAAGCAGAACGGACAATGGGGCAAAGAGGAGAAGAAGATGAGCATGCCTTTCTCGAAGGGCAGCCACTTCGAGCTGGTGTTCATGGTCATGTCTGACTACTACAAGGTCTGAGTCCCCTCCCTGCAGCCCCCTCCCTGCAGCCCTCCCTCCCTTCAGCTCCCTCCCTGCAGTCCTCCCTCCATGCAGCCCTCTCCATGCAGGCCTCCCTCCATGCATCCCCCCTTCCTGCAGCCTTCCCTCCATGCAGCCCTCCCTCCCTGCAGCCCCCTCCCTGCAGCCCTCCCTCCATGCAGCCCCCTCCCTGCAGCCCTCCCTCCATGCAGCCCCCTCCCTGCAGTCCTCCCTCCATGCAGCCCCTTCCCTGCAGCCCTCCCTCCATGCAGCCCTCCCTCCATGCAGCCCCCCCTCCATGCAGCCCTCCCTCCATGCAGCCCTCCCTCCATGCAGCCCCCTCCCTGCAGCCCTCCCTCCATGCAGCCCTCCCTCCATGCAGCCCTCCCTCCATGCAGCCCCTTCCCTGCAGCCCTCCCTCCATGCAGCCCTCCCTCCATGCAGCCCCCCCTCCATGCAGCCCTCCCTCCATGCAGCCCCCCCTCCATGCAGCCCTCCCTCCATGCAGCCCTCCCTCCCTGCAGCCCTCCCTCCATGCAGCCCCCTCCCTGCAGCCCCCCCTCCATGCAGCCCTCCCTCCATGCAGCCCTCCCTCCATGCAGCCCCCTCCCTGCAGCCCTCCCTCCATGCAGCCCTCCCTCCCTGCAGCCCTCCCTCCATGCAGCCCCCTCCCTGCAGCCCTCCCTCCATGCAGCCCCCTCCCTGCAGCCCTCCCTCCATGCAGCCCCCCCTCCATGCAGCCCCCCCTCCCTGCAGCCCTCCCTCCATGCAGCTCCCTCCCTGCAGCCCTCCCTCCATGCAGTCCCCCTCCCTGCAGCCCTCCCTCCATGCAACTCCCCCTCCTTGAATCCCTCCCTCCATGCAGCCCTCCCTCCCTGCAGCCCTCCCTCCCTGCAGCCCTCCCTCCATGCAGCCCCCCTCCCTGCAGCCCTCCCTCCTTGCAGCCCTCCCCCCTCCCTGCAGCCTTCCTCATCCCTGCGGCCCTCTTTCACCCTTGGTCTCCCAGCCGTCTACCCCGCTGATGGACTCTAGAGCCTGGTGCACACTGTGAGTGCGAAGTGCTTTCTCTATAACTAAGCCACGCTCCCAATCCCAACCTTCCTTTTACTTTTACCATTTTTTTTTTGTTGTTGTTTGGTTGTTTCATTTGTTTGTTTGTTTGTTTGTTTGTTTGTTTGTTTTTTGAGCTGGCTATCCTGGAACTTGCTATATAGAACAGGCCAGGCTTGAACTCACAGATTTCTGCCTGCTTCTGCACCTGAGTGCTGGGATTAAAGGCGTGTACCACCACCGCCAGTTTTAATTTAAGATTTCATGCCTTTAATTCCAGCACTCAGGAGGTAGAGGCAGGTGATCTTTGTGAGTTTGAGGCCAGTCTGGGCTACAGAGTGAGTTTCAGGACAGTGGGGACTTTACACAGAGAAACCCTGTCTCTTGGGGATGGGGGAGAAGATCCCTTGAGGCTGGGGAAGTGATTTCAGTCATTAAAGTGGTGCCTATGCAAGTTTGAGGACCTGAGTCCCATCCCTACCTAATAATGAGCTGGGAGCGGTGGGCCATGCTCATAATCCCAGCTCCAGGGAGGCAGAGACAGGAGGATCCTTGGGGCTTGATGGCCAGCCAGCCTAGCCTACTGGACAACTGCCAGGTTCAGTGAGAGACCCTGTGTCAAAAAAACAAGGCAGATGGATGGCTCTGAGGTACAACACTCACAGTTGACCTCTGGCGTCCACATAAACGTGCACACACGTGCACCTGCACATACCCGAACACTCATGCACACACATGCACACTAAATAAATAAATACACACCCATTTCTACCTTCTCACAATCCCTTGTGTCAGGGTGCTGATGTGTGTCACCTTCTCTCTGGCCTCCAGGTCGTGGTAAATGGAAATCCCTTCTATGAATATAGGCACCGGCTGCCGCTACAGATGGTCAACCATCTGCATGTGGATGGAGACTTGGAACTTCAGTCAATCAACTTCCTTGGAGGCCAATCTGCCCCAGCCCCGTATCCGGTACGGAAGGTCTCTTCATTTGCTTCCTGGACCTCTTCTCACATTCGTCACTGTCTGTGTTCCCACCTCTAGTCCCTCGGACGGGTGGGTCTGGGGACCCTGCGGTGATCAAGATAGACACATGACCAGACAGGCATGGCTCCCATGGTCAAGACCGTGAGAGGGGATGTGGGTAGAGAGAGGGTCAGGATCCAATAAGGAGCCTCAGGCAAAGGGTCGGTCTTGGGGGCGGGGTTATAGCAAGGAGTTCTGAGCTGCTAAAGGAAGAATCGGACTTAATCAAGAAGGGCTTCCAGGAGGAAGAAGAGGTGTGTAAACTGGGTCAGAAAGTGAGACAAGAAAAGACTAGTAGATAAAGAGTTTAGGACTAGCAAACAGATTCAGGACAGGTTGCCTGACACATTAGTCACTCAGGAAACACAAAACCACAGTGTGTTGTCACTGCATACTCATCAGGGTGGTAATGGAACAAAGCATGGTACAGCACCATGTGTCCTGTTTACAGGCCTGTGGATCAGCGAGCACAGCTACCATATGGCTGTTCAGAGAGTAATTTGGTGCAATCACCTTGGAAATTGGCCAACAGAGCTAGATCTGAAGGCCAAGCAAACATGAGTTCCAGTGTCCTAGAAGCTCCACACCCAAGTACACAGCCTCCTAGGAGCCTCCAACACACACCCACTGTGATAAAGTAGCATGCCACTGCCAAAAGTCTCAAGTTGAAGCTTGTTTAATGGTAGAGCACCTGCCTAGAATTCCCCAGTGAGGGACTGGGGGTGTGGCTCAGTGGTAGAGCACCTGCCTTTTTTTTTTCTTTTCTTTTTTTTTTTTTTTTAACCCCGGAGCTGAGGACCGAACCCAGGGCCTTGCTCTTGCTAGGCAAGCGCTCTACCACTGAGCTAAATCCCCAAACCCGAGCCCCTGCCTAAAACCACCCAGTGAGGGGCTGGGGGTGTGGCTTAGTGGCAGAGCCCCTGCCTAGAACCCCCCAGTGAGGAGCTAGGGCCCTGGCTCAGCTAGAGTAAGCTAGCTTAGGGTGTGGGATGAGTTCCTGAGTTCCTTTCTCAATACCAACCAAGCAACAAAAGCCTAAGAGTCAAAGCTGTCAGCCTGGGGGCTAGAGGGACGGTAATGAAGAGCACTTACAGCCTCGAATGGTGGTGCACACCCTTAATCCTAGTACTCGGGAGGCAGAGGCAGGGGGATCTCTGTGAGTACAAGGCCAGCCTAGTCTATATAGTGAGACTCTGTCTTAAAAAAACCAGGAAGACCTGGGTTCAGTTCCCAGCACTCAAAGTGGTAGCTCACAAGCGTCTGTAACTGCAGTCCAGGGAATCTGAAGCCTCCTCTGACCTCCACAGGCTCTGCACACACATGGTACACAGACATGTACTTAGGCATATACACTTACATTTAATAAATATTTTGAAAATAAAATAAAATCAATCAACCTGTTCTTCAACAAGTCAGTGAATCAAAATGATGAGTTCGTCACCCAAAGGAGAGAAGGAACAAGTTACAGCCACACAATCATGGGGTGGGGGATGCTGATGTCAAATATGGAGTCTGCCCTTCATGGTGACTCCTGCCTGTAATCCCAGCATCAGGAGGCTGAGGCAGGATGTTCACTGCAAGTTGGAGACCAGCCTGAGCCACATATCAAGACCCTGATGTCTGTATTTGTATGTGTGTGGTGGTGGTGGTGGTGGTGGGAAGACAGATTGATTGATTGATTTGAAGGGCTTTCAGAACAGGAGTTAATTAAAAAGATGAGAAAACAATAAAAATAAGGATGATGAGCAGGGTGGTGGTGGCACACACCCTTAATCCCAGCACTCAGGAGGCAGAGGCAGGGGATTTCTGAGTTCAAGACCAGCCTGGTCTACAGAGTGAGTTTCAGGACAACCAGGGCTACCCAGAGAAACAAAAAGAGGCTGATGAGGCTGTGGAGGTGTTCTGGAGAGAGCCAGTCACCTGCCCAGCATGGCGGCTCCAGGAGAGACTGAGCCGCAGAGACTGGAAGAGATGTGAACAAGCGCGGGAGAGCCTGGTGGAGACAGGAACTTGGGCCGACTCCCACTCTGGCTTGCTCTAGGGTTGGGTGTGTGAAGCAGGCCAGTGATGGCTGGAGATAGGATGACAGGGCTTTGGTCCTCACCGGCCTGGAAAGAAGTACCCACGGCCCCATTTGCCTCTGGAATTCCGCTTTCTAGATTATCCTAGGCTAGGGAACTACAAGGGTTGAATGGGGGGCCTGGGACCGAAGGGGCTAATACAAGGTTGTGGAAGGCGGAACAAAGAACAGAATTTACCAGGTGTTGCCCTAAAGCCGCCGAGGCTCTGGTGGTCCCCAAATACAGCATAGTCTATCCACGTACCCGCCCCAAGGGGCTGCCCCAAGGTATACTCCTCAACACTTTCCTGTCTAGAATTAAGGGTCCCAACCATGACCCCCTTCCCTCTCTGTGCCCACAGGGACATATGGCTAGTTCACCTCACCCTGTAAGTACCTGCTGAGGGGTGGGCAGGCTCTCCCAGAGGTGGAGAATTAATGGCAGAGGAGACTGGGGGCAGTCAAAGGACTCCACATTTCCTCACAACTCTTGCCTTCTGTCTGTCCACTCTGTAGGGTCCTGGGTACTACCCTCCACAGATGAACAGCCTGCCTGTAAGTGGGAGGGGCATAGTGGGCATGTGGAGGGGTGGGGGTAACTTGGGGTGGGGAGAGGGATGGATACATGTTGGATATTTGTCAAATATTGCACAGTGACATCCCTTTCTTCATTTACAGGTCATGGCAGGACCCCCAACCTTCAATCCGGTATGGTGTTCCAGGGACTAGGGGCTGAAGAGAAGCAGGGAATGTGGGGAGTCCAGAAAGGGTGGACTACATGTGGGCTGAGGTTTTTGGGGTGGGAGGTGAGGAGTAGATGCAGTTGGTGGCCAGGGTTCAGGAGGAGACGTGGTTGGGGACAATTGACGGGCAAAATGCTGCTTCTCTGTGAAAATGTGGTCTTGTACCTGGCTTCTCTAGTCAGAGACTGGATGGGACCTGTGTTCTTTTTCTACAGCCTGTGCCATACGTGGGGACTCTACATGGGGGGCTTATAGCCCGAAGAACCATCATAGTCAAGGGCTATATACTTCCCACAGCCAAGAAGTAAGCACCCAGACTGGCATGGGAATTTCCCCCTCCTCCCTCAGACCCAGAAGTCAAGACCCCAGCCCTCCTCCCTCAGACCCAGAAGTCAAGACCCCAGCCCTCCTCCCTTGACGACTCCGAGGCTGGACCCCACTTGACACGTCATTTGTCCTCAGCTTTATCATCAACTTCAAGGTGGGGTCGTCAGGGGACATAGCTCTCCACATCAACCCTCGCATGGGTGAGGGCGTGGTTCGCAACAGCTTTATGAACGGCTCCTGGGGCTCTGAGGAGAGGAAGATCGGCTACAACCCATTTGGCCCTGGGCAGTTCTTTGATGTGAGTCTGGGGGTCCCTGCCCCGCCTGCCACAGACCCGGGTCCTGCTGGGCCTTACCTCTCCCCTCCCCGACAGCTGTCAATCCGCTGCGGCACGGATCGGTTCAAAGTGTTCGCCAACGGCCAGCACCTTTTTGACTACTCGCATCGGTTCCAAGCGTTCCAGAGGATAGACATGCTGGAGATCAAAGGTGACATCACCTTGTCCTATGTCCAGATCTGAGCTCCTCCTGGGGAAGACGAGAGACCCCCTAGTTCTGTCTAAGCCCTAATAAAATGTCTAAGGGGTCTCTGTGTGAGCGAGCATTCATTCACCTCCCCATGGCTCCGGTGGCTTCCATCCTGCCCTGTTTTTCCAGACACCTACCCATCTTCCCTCCCCCTACAACACACAGAGGTATGCTCCAAGCCCTGACAATATGTGTATCAATCCATTCACTCCTCACACCAAATTCCAAGATTGGGAACTACCGCTATCCATTCGTCATAACAGATGAGGAACAGGCAGTGTGTGTGTGTGAGGCGGTGGCGGGCGGGAATGGGGGGTGGGGGATTAACAAAAAGCTGAGTGTGGTGGTACATGCTTCTAATCCCCACTTGGGAAGTGAAGGTAGGAAGTTCAGAAGTTCATGATCATCCTTAGTTATATAGTATGTCAGAGGCTAGCCTGGGCTACATGACTCTGTCACAGAAATGAAGGGAGGGAAGGAAAATGGGCAAATTGCCAAGCTAGGTATACTAACGCATTGCTGTAGCTCCATCACTTGGAAGACAGAAGCGGGGTGGGGGTTCAAGGCTAGCGTGTGCTACATAGTGTAGGACTATATAACGAGACCCTGTTGTTGGTAATACAAGTTAGGATAGAAAGTGAATTAGGTACAACACTTTGGATTCGCCAAAATATAATAAATAATGGAGTATTTTCTCTGAATTTGTCAACTGTTAATGGACTGGACGTTATTAATGTAATTCTTGAGTGTATATATTGTATATAGTTATTGTACTTATTGTATATAGTTTTTCTTATATTAGTTATAAACTTCTTTTATTATTTTAGACAAAAAAGGGGAAATGTGGTGATATATTGTTTGTCATCTAAAAAATAAAACTTGCCTGAAGATCAGAGGACAGAGCAGGCCACAGAGTTAGCCACAGAGTTAGCCACAGAGTTAGCCACAGAGCTAGCCACAGAGTTAGCCACAGAGTTAGCCACAGAGTTAGCCACAGAGTCAGCCACAGAGTCAGCCACAGAGTTAGCCACAGAGTTAGCCACAGAGTTAGCCACAGAGCTAGCCACAGAGTTAGCCACAGAGTGAGCCACAGAGTTAGCCACAGAGTGAGCCACAGAGTTAGCCACAGAGTCAGCCACAGAGTCAGCCACAGAGTCAGCCACAGAGTCAGCCACAGAGTCAGCCACAGAGTTAGCCACAGAGCTAGCCACAGAGTTAGCCACAGAGTCAGCCACAGAGTCAGCCACAGAGTCAGCCACAGAGTTAGCCACAGAGTTAGCCACAGAGTCAGCCACAGAGTCAGCCACAGAGTCAGCCACAGAGTTAGCCACAGAGTTAGCCACAGAGTTAGCCACAGAGCTAGCCACAGAGGTCAGGCCGTGCTGGCACACACCTTTAATCCTAGCGCTCAGGAGGCAGAGGCAGAGATCCGTCTGTATTTCTGTGAGTTCAAGGCCACACTGGGCTACAAGAGATTAATCCAGTCTAAAAGAGAAACAGAGCCAGGCAGTGGTGGCACACACTTTTAATTCAGCACTTGGGATCAGACCCCTTTAATCCCAGGACTAGGAAGGTGGAGACAGGAGGTGATATGGCTGGGCGGAGGGAGGACTATGAGGCGGGAGGAGACAGGAGCTCAGAGCTCTTTTGGCTGAGGACTTAGGGGCGTTCAGTCTGAGGATTTGTGGAGACAGAATCTTCCTCTGTCAGGCTGAGGAGTTGGTGAGGTGAGAGGTGGCGCCTGTGGCCTGCTCTGCTTCTCTGATCTTCAGGCAAGTTTTATTTCTTAGATGACAAACAATAGGACACCACACCCTGTCTCAAAAAAAATTGCCGAGTAGAGTGTCCTACAGTCCCAGCACTTAAGAGACTAAGACAGTAGGATTACAGTCACATTGAGGCTAGCCTGAGCTAAGAGTCTATCTCAGAATAGAGAGAAGAAGAAAAAATGAGGGTGGGAAGGAGGAAAGGAAGAGAGGAGGGGAAGGAGGGGGGAAGACAAGAAGGGAGAGCGGGAAGAGGGAGAAAGAGAGGAAGAAGTTGCCCAAGGTTACGTAGCCTACAAACTTCAGAACTAGCAATGTGGTCTGGCTTCCCGTCATTCCAGCCGTCTACCCGATTACCCACCTGTGATGTTTAGTTTTTACACTTTTTTTAAAAACTCTCACTTTGTGGCCCCAACACAGAACACATTTTGTAGATCAGGCTGGCCTTGAACTCAAAAGGATCTACCTGCCTCCTGAGTGCTGTGAATAAAGGCGTCTGCTACCCCACCTGGCTTGTGGTGGTTTTGATTGTCAACCTGACCCATCTACAGTCACCTGCAAAGAGAGTCTCAACAAGGGCTTTCTAAATCAGTTTGGCCTGTGGACCTGTCTGGGGATTATTTTGATTATGTTAATTGAGGTAGGAAGACAGCCCACTGTGGGGGACACCATTCCTTAGGCAGGGGATTCTGGACTGCCCATGTGTGGAGAGGGAGCGAGCACAAGCAGGCTTTCGTCTTCTCTCTGCTCTTGACTATGGATGTATGTAATCAGCTGCCTTGAGATGGAATTTCTGTCTCCTGGGCATGACCTGGAGCTGTGAACTGAAAACCCTTTCCTCCTGAGGTGATTGTGTCAGGGTATTTTTTCACAGCAGCAGAGATAAAGATAAGACATCATCTGAATTTCCATCATTCTCTCCATTCATGAGGCCAACCATAAGTCCATCCATCCATCCAGCCACCCACCCACCTACCCATCCATCTACCCATCCATCCATCCATCCACCTATCTACCCATCCACCCACCCACCCACCCACCCAATCATCCATCCATCCACCCATCCATCCACCCATCCATCCATCCAGACACCTACCTCTTATCTTTCTAACTTTCTTAACGTCCAAGCATTCATTCCCAACCGGCCAACCCAGCTCCATCTACCCAGCTGCTTCTCCATCATCTATTCATTCATCCAATCCTGCATTCACCTCCCAGCGGTCATTCTTTCCATGCACCAAAACACCTAACATCATTAATAAATTACACTCATACACTCTCACACGCACACACTGCTTCACAAAGAAAAACATCTGCATCTATCCATTTAACCCTCCTTATTTCCAGCTTTCATCCACCCTTCTCCTCCTTCTTCCTTTCCTGCCTTCCTCTTCCTTCTTATTTGAGACAGGGTCTTCTATGTAGCCCAGGCCTGGAACTTGCTAAGTAGCCAAGACATACGTAGAGGTTTCAACAGCCCTCCTGACTCTCAAGTACTGGGATTATAGGCACACACACCTAGTATGTATGTGTGTATGTGTATGAGTGTGTGTGCATGTGTGTATGTATGTGTATGAGTGTGTGTGCATGTATGCACAGTAGGGAATGCCTTGGAGGATCCTGGAGTTGTGTCCCTAGGAGTTGGAGTTAAAGGTGCTAGTGAGCTGCTTGATGGCTGCTGGGAACTAAACTTGGGTCCTCTGAAAGAACAGCGAATTCTCTGAACCACTGAGTCCATCTTTCCAGACCTGGCCTGCGACTTTGTTATGTTTTTAGATTTATTTATTTTATTTTATGTGCATGAGTGTTTTGTCCACATACATGCATGTGGAGGTGCACCACATGTATACCTGCAGATAGTGTGAACCTACATATGGGTGCTATGAACCAAACCTGGGTCCTCTGCAAGAACAGCAAATGCTCTAAACTGCTGAGCATCTCTCCAGCCCTAAAGATGTATTTTTATTGTTTTAAAAAATATATGTAGGAGCCAGGCATGGTGGTGTGCCACTGTGCCCAACATTTTTTCTTTTGACAAAACAGTTGATGTATTCATGTTCTATCTTTATTTTTTAAGTTTAAGATTTATTTACTTTTATTTTATGTGTATTTGGTGTTTTGTCTGCATTCATGTCTGTGTGAGGGTGCCAGACGTCTTGGAACTGGAGTTACAGACAGTTATGAGCTGCCACATGGGTGCTGGGAATTGAACCCGGGTCCTCTGTAAAAGCTGCCAGTGCTCTTAACCACTGAGCCACCTCTCATCCCCTTGTTTTGTTTGTTTGTTTGTTTTGGGTTTTTTTTTTTTTTTTTTGAGACAGGGTCTTTCCACATAGCCCTGGCTGTCCTGGAACTCCCTATGTAGACCAGGCTGATCTTGAACTCTTGAGATCCTCCTGCCTCTGCCTCCCAGGAGCTGGGATTAAAGGCGCATGCCACCATGCCCAGCTTCTGTATCTTTAAAAAAATCTGTGTATACATTCACAAATAATATCATTGTCACAGATTCATCACTGCTTCCTGGGACAAGTTTTGTTTTTCTTTTCTTTTCTTTTTTTTGTTGTTGTTTTGTTTTGTTTTTTCGAGACAGGGTTTCTCTGTGTAGTTTTGGTGCCTTTCCTGGATCTTGCTCTGTACACCAGGCTGGCCTTGAACTCACAGAGCTCGGCCTGGCTCTGCCTCCCAAGTGCTGGGATTAAAGGCGTGCGCCACCACTGCCTGGCTCCTGGGACAAGTTTTAAAGAAATGTATTAATTTTTATTTTATGTGTATGTGTGTTTTGCCTATATGTATGTGTGGATCCGGTGTATACATTGCCCACAGAGGCCAGAAGAGGGCGTCAGATCTCCCAGAACTGGAGTTACAGATGGTTGTAAACTGTCACATGGGTGCTGGGAATTGAACCGGGGTCTTCTGGAAGAGCAGCCTGTGTTTCCAGGCACCGACCACTTCCCCAGCCTGCTCTATTGTAACTCTGAGTGTCCTCTTACTGCTTAAGACCGACTGGCCCTGAAGTGGAACAGATGAGGGCAGCCACCCAGAGACCCTGCCTGCACTCTGGAGAGGGTTTTGTTACATAATGCTAAACTCGAGTATTTTACGAGTTTATAAAAGGACCCCCAGGGCTGTGAGACCACAGTTAAGGGGTTTAAGTGAAGGCATCCTGCAGAATTGGGAAGGAACTTCTAGGAGCCCTAAGGTTGCTGCTAAAAATTCCAGTACTAGGGATGAACTACCTCTCTCTGAGTTGTTGGCCAAGGAGGCCGTCTTACTCACTGTTCTGTTGCTGGGA